CCAACAAATATCATCTCGTTGAAATACTTTTGCTATTGAGTATTGAATGACTTTTTTTACGCTAGTATTTAATGAGATTAGTTGTGTGGGAATTTCACTATTTTACCCTTAGGCCAACTATTACTTTATCTTTTTCTCTTATTTTGCAAACTTTATGCATTAACGAGGTACGTTTTTTTCTTAAAAAACTATGTATTCCTTGGAACTTGTAGAAGTAGAATAATTGATATAAGACCCTCCAATTTTTAGTTGAACACAATAATGGGCAACACTATTTTTTTTAATAAAACTAATTTTTGGTCTTATTTTGATGAAATTAAAAAAAAATTCATGTCCTTCATTTGTTGTTATTTTGAGTTTGAACTCTAATCTATTTGAAGAGATGATGCCATCTCGTTGAAATACTTAACTTATTGAATATTGACTTACTTATTTTTTATGCTAGTATTAAATGAAAATAGTTGTGTGAGAATTTCACTATTTTACTCGTAAGGCAAGTATTACTTTGTCTTTTTCTCCTATTTTTCAGACTTTATACATTTACGATGTATGTTATTTTCTTTCAAAAAATTATATATTTCTTGGAACTTGTAGAAATAATATAATTGCTATAAGACCCTCCAGTTTTTAGCTAAACTCAATAATGGGTAGCACTAATTTTTTTATGAATAAAATGAATTTTGGTCCTATTTTGAGGAAAATATATTACGTTTTCTCCAACCCATCATATATTGTTTTTTTGGAGTTTCAACTCTATTTGAAGAGAATATGCCATCTTCTTGAAATACTTATCTTATTGACTATTGAATATTTGAGTAATACTTATCTTATTGAGTATTGACTCACTTATTTTTTACCCTTGTATTGAATGAAAATAGATGTGTGAGAATTTCACTATTTTACCCTTAGGTAAACTATTACTCTGTCTTTTTTCTTATTTTTCAAACTTTATGCATTTACGATGTACGTTTTTTTCTTTCAAAAAACTATGTATTCCTTGGAACTTGTAGAAAAAAATAATTGTTATAGGACCCTCCAATTTTAAGCTAAACTGAATAATGGGCAACACCATTTTTTGTATGAATCAAATGAATTTTTTGTCGTATTTTGAGGATAAATATATAAGTTTTTTCCCAATCCATCATTTATTGTTTTCTTGAGTTTGAACTCTATTTGTCTTCTTGTTGAAATATTTGTCTTATTCAGTATTGACTTACTTTTTTACGCTAGTATTGAATAAAAAAGTTGTGTGAGAATTTCTCTATTTTACCCTTATGCCCACTATTACTTTGTCTTTTTTCTTATTTTTCAAACTTTATACGTTTATGATGTACGTTTTTTTCTAAAAACCCATATATTCCTTGGAACTTGTAGAAATAGAATAATTGCTATAGAATCCTCCAATTCTTAGCTAAATTCAATAATGGGCAACACTAATTTTTTATAAATAAAATGATTTTTTTGTACTATTTTGAAGATAAATATATAAGTGTTTTCCCAACCCATCATTTATTATTTTCTTGTGTTTGAACTTTGAACTATCTTCGAACAGATGTGATCTTGTAGAAATCCATATCTTATTGAGTATTGACTTACTTTTTTTACGGTAGTATTGAATGAAATTAGTTGTGTGAGAATTTTATTATTTTACCCTTATGCCAACTATTACTGTCTTTTATTCTTATTTTTCAAACTTTATGCTTTCACGATATACGCTTTTTCTTTCAAAAAACTATGTATTTCTTGAAAATTGTAGAAATAGAATAATTGATTAAGAATTTTGACACATGCTTATAAAGTATTGATTCAAATCTCGCATATTTAATTAAGATTTTTGGCGTTAAATGTGGTCATGTTTGTTACTGTATGGACGAATGGACCCGAGGCAACACCAGCAGCCATGCAGGAGCGTGGTGGGCAGAGTAGGGCACTGTGTTGACATAGATTTAAGTGAGAGCGGTAAGGACATGGTAGTGGGGCGTCGACGGGAGGTTGTTGCGACTTGCGATGCAACACCATTTTTTGGTGCAACACGTTTCTTTAATAGATATCACCCTAAATAGGATTAAAACATAGAGAAAAGTATCAAAATAGAACTTTCATATTTTTTTCTCGAAATAGAACTTCACACTGTGGTGATGTGGTTGTAATATGGTACTGTACATGTGCACATTATTATACTTTTTGGTAATGTACATGACCGTGTTTGGTAATGTAAATGCATTTTAAGTCTTATTTCGGAAATAAAAATATAAAAGTTCTATTTTGGTATATTTTCAATATTTAAGTCTTTCTTTAAACATGCTTCTTAGTTCTTGCTTTCTTTGCCTCTCATGGGACTTAACATTGTAAAACTAAATATCTACCATCACTGAACATTATTCTCGCTACTAGATACTCCCTCCGTCCACAAATAAATTTTACATTCACTATTCACTTGGTCAAACTTTATTTACTGTGTTGGCCTATTTTCGTCACCCATTTGATAAAATAATATAGTCATGTCACCTCTAGTTTTGTAGATCTTTTGATATAATTTTTTAATATGTAATTTTTATTTTTCAATTCTACACCATTTTTTATATAAAATGATTTGAAAATAACTTTAGTCAAACATCGTAACGCGCAATGTAAAGTTTATTTGTGGACGGAGGGAGTATTATCTTTACACCAAGGTTCCCATGACATTGCCCGACAATGTCATGGGATGACCCGGAGCCGCTCCAGTGCCCCGTTCGTAAAATTGACGGTTCCAACCCCACTAACCTTCAGTAACCCCCCACCCTGCCCCGACCCGAACACACCCCTCACCCCTCCAATTGCACCCCACAATAATCAACTTGTGGGGTGCAATTGGAGGGGTGGGGGTTTACCGGGAGAGTTAAGGGGGTAGGAACCGTCAATTTTACGAATGGGGCACCAGAGCGGCCCCGGGAATCTTTATCTAAGTACTATTTAGGAATAAAAAATGTAAATACTGTATTTAAAAATGATATACTCCGTATGTTTTAGTACAAATTGCACTAACATTTTTTGGCTAATTTTCACACAAAAAAATGGTTAAGGCAAGAGCAATGCTAGGGGTACATCAAGATGTACCCCAAATGTACATCACCCCTTCTCCACCATCTATTTTTATTTTATTTTTATTTATTTAATTTTTTTAAATTTCTTGCGGACAAATGGGGTAAGTGTACCCATCATTTTTCTTAGGGCAAATGTGAATTCTGAATTGCAGGCGTCCACTGCAGCCCGCCCGCATGGAAGCCATTGAAGCGAAATCTGCTTCTTCTCCAACAGTTCCCCGTGGGGATGGTATGGCCGTTCAAGCGACTGAAGCTAGTTTTCATGATTTCTCGTAAGAATTCTAAGCATATTTGTATACTAATCCGTACCTTTTTAAGGATAATCAGAGGCTTTCTCAATTCTCAGTTAATTATTGATAATCAGGCTCAGCAATTTGCTATTGGGCTGCAATTCCCTCCGCCATTACACTGTTTCAAATCTTATTCTCATGGTGAACTGATTCCACTTGAAATCTTTTAATGATGAATTTATATCATCCAGATAAGCAATCTTTGTTTTAGGCTTATTAAGGACACTTTGTTCTCTAATTCAGGAGTCTGTTTATCTGCCCAAATTGCATCCTTATCTTTTTTTTACTTTTTGCAATTTCAAAATTGCTATATTGGATGTAAATACAATTATGTATTTATGAGTATGCCTTTGAACCTATCACTTTTCACCAATTAACTTTGTGAAGTTCTTTACGGGACGGAGAGAGTATTTTCTTACAATGTTTTGTGTCTATTCTTGACTTATGCTTGTCAAATACTCCGTAATATAAAATGGTATTGTTACTCATGGAATAATTACACAAGTTACCGCGTTGTCATATTTCTTTAACCACATAACTGAAGCTCTTAGGGTTACAGCGTGTGCCCACCACTGCCAACCCCTTGTTGGTCCTTGTTGGTTTTGAATGCTACTACGAGGTATATCTCAGCGCGACCCAATCCATGGAAAACACAACAAGCTTTATACCAACATAGAAAAACTAGGGCAAACGTGTTAATTCATGTAAGATAATATCATCTCATTGATTTCGGTTTTGGATTTATTTCAGATGGTTCAAGATCACCAACGCCATATTTCAACAATTAATGTTAAGCTTCCGTAATCATTGCTAGGTTTAACTAAATACCAAATATAGATTATGTATACAGTATAAACATTCATGCTTTATGGCATACTACATGTTTTCAGCACTTGCAAATCCAAAAGGAGCCTCCGCGCAAGAGTGATTAAGTTTGCCCTACTTGATTTTCCATTTTTAAATTGAACTTTGTCGTATTTGTGTAAACTTTAAAGCACCCAGTATTGAACCAAAGCATTCTAACACATACATTTGCTTGCCGATGCTAAAAGTATATAAAGCAATTGTCATTTAACTACTTCAATATATTTTAAATGAAGTGTGAAAATGCATATATTGATTATTAAAATTATTTTTTAATGAGTTAAGTGACCGTGTTGAGCTGCCTTCCTGCCTATAAATTGAGCTAGTAGTAAAGTGGTTTACGTATACCAATCCATAGATGAAATGCCTCCTTCACATTTTCTCTTTTTTCTTCTTCTAAATAAATCCACAACTTACTGAAGTTTATCTTTTGCACCCAGGTTTCGTCATATCTTGAACTATGTGGCAGTCTTTAGCTGCCTATAAATTCAGCTAGCTAGCGGTGAAACGGATACACAGATCAATACACAATGGTCTCCAGAGGTTTCCCCTTTTCCTTCAAATTTCTCCTTTTTAAAGATGATATCATTCTTTGTATGAGCATGATCTTTGAGTCTCCTCCACAGTTAAAAAGCAGTGCTGAAAAGCGACTTCATGAGTGCCTTTGTGATTGAGGATTTGAAAACATTAATTTCTTCTTATGGCATCTAGGTTACATACTCTTAAGAGCATAAGATGTTTTTTATGTGAATTACTGATAATCAGGCCCAGCATTTTGCTATTTGGGCTGCAGAGTCCATGGTCAATATCGTTGTGCACCTCCATTACTCTATTAGTGGTGCACTGATTCAATTCTCTTCCCCATCCATCTCCTTCCTATCCACATGGGGAACTGCTTCCACTTTTACTCTCTGTTTCTCTTCATTAATTGAGCTTGGCCGATAATTGTAATTCGTTGAAGCTTGGCACTTGTGTGTATATTAAGGATATCAAGATAGCGGCTGTATTGGTTTTCCATTAATGAAATTTACATCCATGCTTGTGTTACTTGGGTGTATGATTTTTTTATATCTTAAACAAATTGGCTCATTCATTAACATGAACATGAGCTCTGTGTGCTTGGTGCTTGTTTGCGTTGCATTTGTGCTTTCCTTGCTTTATGTATCTCTTGTGCTCCTTTTTATGTGCAGCTTGAGCCGGGGTCTCATGGAAACAACCTCTCTACTTTCGGGTAGGGTCAAGGTCTGCGTACACACACCCTCCCCAGACCCTACTTTTGTGGGATTCAACTGGGTTGTTGTTGTTGTTGCATTAACAGTTGTCAATTAGTTATTGTATCCCCCCCGCTCCTAATTTTGTTCTCAAATGTTCTTTATTCTGAATTTGTTTTATTTTTCATGTTTAATACTTTAATGTTGTCATCATAAAATGAAAATGATGTTTTCATTTCGTTAATCTTTGAATGATGAATTTATATCCAGATCAGTAATGCTTTGTTTTATGCTTATTAAGGACACTTTATTATCTAATTTAGAATTATGTTTATCTTCCCAAAATGGATGCTTATCTCTTTTTATTTCTTTACTTTTGAAATTTTAAATTCACTAAATTGGATATCTGAACTTGTTCGATTGTCGCATGTAAAGGCGATTGATCTCATTATTTCAATAATGCTATTTGTGGTGATCTCTTTACTGCATGACTGCATCCAATTAACATTTGATATTAGCAAAGAGAGAAATAATGTCTTATTTATTGTAACACATTTAGAGCATTTGGTCTTTTGACATGAGACATTGTGCCTGTATGGTAACAGCTTTTAGTGTATAGCTTTAACGTTTTAAAAATGCTATCTAACAGCAACATTCAACTTTAGCATTTTTGTTTCTGCACACACACATATATGAAAATGTTTTGAAAAATTAGTTCAAGACAAATTCTTCCGTGGACCTAAGGTCCATGCTTATCTTATGGACCTTAGTACATTTGTAGCATAAAAGAAGTGGGCCTTTTGCAAAATATAAATTATCCCCATGCAAGCCCATGAAAAATGTGAGAAGGTCCACATTTTAAATGTAGGCCTTGGGACCATGAAAGCATCACTCTTAATTCAAAACACTATTTGAAAATGTTGTAGGTTGTACCCAAATGAGGCCATTGATCTCAAGAAAAGACTTGCCCAGGTATGCCTCTCATCCCCAGATCTGTGTACCTTTTATTCATTTTTGTTTCTGCACACACACGTATATGCATTTACGAATATGCACATACACATGCACACACAAACAGATATTGTACAACTAAACTTCCACTAGGCTCCATCCCATTAATAACTTCACAATTTCCTTGTTTATATGCCCAAAGAAACTTCACACTTCTTTCATTTTCTTTTAAGGAAAGGAATATGTGGCTCACAAAATTAGTGGCTCTTCTAACCAAATTCCGACCTTTGAAAAAAAACAAATTCACCAATCACTTTTTAACTATTAACTTTGTGAAGTCAAATTGTGAAATTCTTTATGGGACTGAGAGTGTGTTTGCTTACAATATTTTGTCTATTTTTGATTTATGCTAGTGAAAGAATATGGAATGGTATTGTTACTTATGGAATAATGACACAAGTTACCACATCTTCATATTTCTTCAACCGCGTAACCTAAACTCAACTCCTAAGGTTACAATGTGTGACCGCCTTTGCCAACCTCTTGCTCGTTTTGAATGCTATATCTCAGCCTCTCAGGGTGGCCCAATGCATGAAAAATACCAAAAACTTCATACCAAAATGAAAAACTAGGCCAAATGTGCTAACTTGTGTAAGATGATCTCATCCCATTGGTTTTGGATTTAAATAATTAATTTAAGATTGCCGAGGCCATTTTTAAAAAATTAATGTTAAGCTTCCATAATCATCACTAGGTTTAACTAAATGCCAAATTTAGATTATATATACACATTCATGCCTTGTGGCACACTAGATGTTTTCAGCAGTTGCGAATCTGTAAATGAGCAACTGGCATCCAAACACCAAAACATTTACTTATCGTTGCTATAAACATATAAAGAAATTTTCATTAAATTACTTTAATATTTTTCTAAACGAAGTGTGAAAAAGCATACATTGATTACTATACTTTTTGGTCATCTAAGAGAAAAAGATTTGTGAAGGACTCGCTTACTGAACTTCTTGGTCTTTTTAGTCATCAAAGAAGAAGAGAAAAATGGATAAGCATCTGAAGCTTAAATTATTTTTGAATTATACTAGCTGGTAAATTTTAGAATATGCGTATATTACAACAGTTTCGAATGCTTCACATGGCATATGATTTATGAATGCAGGAAAAATTCTTCTCTTGTTAAGTTCAAGATATGATTGGCACAAGATGAAAGTTATGACCTACATATATTGCGTCCACTGCTAATGGTTCTAAAAGAGTCATTATTGACAATGGCTTAGCTTTTGGTACATAGCGGGCTAAATCAAGATGATACATTGAACTTCCTTTTCTTCATACCCCGTGAGAAGTTTTGGCTTTTAAATGCATCAAGAGTCTAACAAAACTTCCCTCTTTGATTTTTATAGGACTGACCTTGTTGATTTTGTTTATGTATTTTTCTGATAGGTAGAATGTACTAGAGTTGCAGTTTAACTTGTTGGTATCATGTATATACACCATTTTTGAAAATATATTAGTAAAAATGGAGACAGGTTTGACTTTTTGTAGTAGCACTTTGATAACTTCTTTGCTCTTTTCGGGTGTATTTGGTTCAGGGTGATGGAGGGAAAATCATTTCCACACCTCATTTGGTTCAAAACATTATTTGGGTGAAAGAACAAAAGTTTTCCCACTCCTCCCCTCCTTCCAAACACTCCCTTGGGAAATTCCATTCTAATTTTACATTTTTCTGTAATTATTTAAATAAATGAATTTTATTTTCTTACTTTGGAGAGCCAGGGTTTTCTAAGGTCCATATTTTAAATTTATCACCAATACAAAAATTGTTCCCCAATGTATTCTAGAAAAGTTTTCTACAAATAATATTAACATTTGCATGCAAAATTTCCAAAACTATATGCTTTCATTGCCAATCGCTTACTATTTTCTATGAAACATTGTGTAGAAAATGCAGCAATTGTTTTTATAGGGGTAAGATTGTGTGCATATTGACACCCTAACCCCAATGGTGTTTTTTATTAAACTGGGTTTGTTAGTTTCTAAAACTTTAATAACCTGGGTTAAAGTGAGGTGACTACTGCATAGAGTTGCGTGACCGTGTTGAGCTGCCTTCCTGACTGTAACGGTTTGTCGGTTTTTCTTTTTCCTTTGCATTCTCTCTTTTTTCTTCTAGATAAATCTTCAACTTACTGAAGTTTATCTTTTGCACCCAGGTAACCTTAAATCTTGAGCTACGTGGCAGTCTTTAGATCCCTATATATTCAGCTAGCGATGCGAAGCAAATACACAGGTCAATACACAAAGCATCTGCAGTGGTTTCTCCTTTTCCTTCACATTCGCTCTTTTTTCTTCCATATAAATCTTCAACTTACTTAAGTTTATCTTTTGCACCCAGGTAGGTTTCCTTAAGTCTTGAGCTACGTGGCAGTCCTCAGCTCCTTATATATTCAGCTACCTAGGTGAAGCAGATACACAGATCAGTACATAAAGCATCTCCAGAGGTTTCTCCTTTTCCTTCAAATTTCTCCTTTTGTATGATTATGATCTCTTAGGCCCCGTTTGGCATCAGCGTTAGAGATTATAGCGTTAGCGTTTTGAAAAGGCTATCCGACAGTAGCCTTTCGTAATTAATCTACACCATTAAAATTTTATCCAAAACGCTAACGCTAATAAAAAATGTTGTTCCCAAACAAGGCCTTACTCTCCTCCACAGTTAAATAGCAGTGCAGAAAAGCAACTTCATGAGTGTCTTTGTGATCGAGGATTTGAAAACATTCATTTCTTTATGGCATCTAAGTTACGTACTCCTAACGGCATAAGATGGTTTTTTTGTTACATTCTTTTATCATTTTTTTAAAAATTTTGTTCCCTTGGTTTTGATTCTTAGCTAGCACGTGATTTGTAGATTTTCATATCACACTATTCAGTTTCTCCTTGAAGAGTACCTTTTTTTCCTTCTGTTTTTTCTCTTTTGCCTTTTAGGAGATACCATGGAGTCTCATGCGTGCAATTCATGTGAACAGGTTTTGTTTTCCAACAACAATGTTAGCCATGGAAATGGAAGCTTCCTATCCTGAAGTTCCGATTGAGATGACCAAACTTTTCCATGCAATTGACCGACAACTTTATTCAATCCTGGTTTTCAATCTCCAGTGCGATCCAAGGGTATCCATGCTGACAATTGCCTTTTGGATTTGGCTGGAACACATCACTCTCAAGGATGCTGTGACAAAAATATTGTCACTGTCCTTCGAAATGATCAATGGACTCTTTGGGGAAGCTGTGATCTGCCTTGGATGCATTGCTAACACCATGCATCATTTCCCTCATGCACCAAGTCACTTTTTTCTCACTCAACATCTTTTGGGGCAGCACTCTTGTCTCAAGTACTTGTATGAAAACCAGGCCGCGGCATCTAATAGGATTAAAAAGATTGTATCAGGAGTTTGTCTGAAGGTATTGAACGATCTCAAGGCAATGGCCATCAGCAATAACACCCAGCAACACTTGGCTCAAAGTGAAGTGGCACTGATTGACTACTTCCTTGGTGAGTGCTCGTCGTCGTCTCAATCTGGTGGGGTGGTGCCTCGTCGAATGCCAACCATCAAGGCACCACCAAAAGGAAGGAGGACAATGTTTGCTACCTTCTCAAAGGGATTCCCAGTTTATGAAGGGGAGATGCGTCGGTTCTTCAGCAGGATGTTTGGTGACTGCATTGATTCCATCACCATGCAGGAAGTGAATCCTGGTGAGCTGCCACTCTACGCCCTCATTGTCTTCACCACTCCAGGTATAATCGACTTCATCCTCAATGGCACCGAGAAAGCGAAATTCTCCATTAATGGAAGACAGGTTTGGTTGCGCAAGTCTGTCCCAAAATTTTAACAAACCCGTCTCTCTGTACAGCATCCACCGTGGCTGCGTTTTTTTCAACTGTTTTATCTTGTTTTACTTTTTACCGTGTGATGCCCGATCATCGTGGCACTTTCTCGTTTCGGTTTCTAGCTTGTGATTAAGCCCCGTGTATGGTTGTCGTTTCCAGATGTAGTAATGGCATGTAAACTTGTTTGATCGAATAAATATATCCAAAGTGTAGAATGTATATTTCCTATCTTCATCATATATGTATTTATAGTATATTCTAATTCATAAAATATAGTATATATTTGGGAAAGAGTGATATCATATATTCATTTTTCCTCTTTATTTTGGCATGAATTAGATTTGAGAAGTGAGGAATATCCATTATTTATTGTTCCTTATTAAGAGTTTGAACTCTATTTGAAGAGATGAAGAAGTCATCTCATTGTGAAACTCATTCCGTTTACTACATTACTTTTGTCCTTTTTTATTTTTCGAATTTATGCATTTACGGTGTAGCTTTTAATAATAAAAAACGGTGTATGCCTTGGGACTTGTAGAATATGACTTCCATTTTTAGCTAAAGCTCAGTCGGTCATCATGAAGCTTTCTTATTTAAAAAAAGAAAAAATTACCAAAAATAATCTCAACTTTACCCGGTCTTTCAAAAATAATCCCACCTAGTTTCTAACGGAGGGTTAACGGAAATGCCCGTTTTAGGCAACAAAATGAAAGTTGGGATTATTTTTGATGAATTTTCATTTTTTTATTTTTTTAAAATTTTTCATTTAAATTTTTTAAATTACTTTCTACCTCCATCATCATTTCTTTTTCCTTTTTTAAAGATTAGTCTTAGTTTTAAAAATAAAAATAATAGATATAAAAAATGAAAAAATGAGAAATGTAATTAAAATGATACAAAAATAATAAAATAAATAAGGTAATCAATGGAAACTAACTTGAAATTGGTAAGAGTAAAATAAAAATATACGGGTGGGTTTTAATATTTTACGCATTATACAAAGTATTAACATATCACTTCTTATATTTGAGAAAACATTATCTACAATAATTCCAACTTTACCGGACGGCTTGTTCTTTTAAAAATAAGTAGTACATTAAGACTCCGTATAGTGTGTAAAATGTTAAAACCCACCACTCCGTATATATTTATTTTATTTCTTACTAGTTTCTGTTTAATTTCTATTGATTACATTATTTATTTGATTAATTTTATATGGTTTTAGTTATTTTTTTCATTTTCATTATTTTTTATATCTATTTTTTTTTCTAAGGTAAGAATAATCTTTAAAAAAACAAAAAGAAATGGAGGTTGAAAGTAATTCAAAAAATTTAAATAAAAATTTCAAAAAAAAATAAAAAACAAAAATTCATCAAAAATAATCCCAACTTTTAAAACGGGCATTTCCGTTAACCCTCCGTTAGAAACTTAAAGGCGACCCAAAACTGACAAATTTCAATAAAGTTGGGATTATTATGCATCACAGTGAAAGGTGAGATTATTTTTGAAAGACCGGGTAAAGTTGGGATTATTTTGGGTAATTTTTCCTTAAAAAAAATCATGTATTTAAATTAAATATTCAGTTACAATATTTTTTCTTCTACATCAGTTACAATATTGATCTAAATGTGATTTGTTTCTTTTAACTAAAAAGGGAAAAAATATGTAAAATTTTATTATTTTACGATATACCCGGAGTATAAAACTAGCGTCACAAAAAAGATTATGATAGCTGTCATCTAAGTTTATTTTTTCAAATCAACTATTCTCTTTGTCCCAAATTAAGTTGCATATTTACTATTCACCTGGTCAAATTTATTAACTTTTTTTCCCTATTTTAAAATATCATTTGATAAAATAATATAGTCATGTCACATCTTATTTTTTAGTTTTTGATGTAGTTTTCTAATATGTAAACTTTATTTTTTGTTTTCGCTCCAATTCTCTAATAAATTTCATTGAAAATAATTTTAGTCAAGTATTGTAAATCGAAACAAAAGATTTAAATTGAGACGGAGAGGTAACTTACATAAGTGAACAAAATTTCAAAATAAAATTTATAAATCTAAAAACGACATCAAATGATCAAAAAATTACTCGAGAACTATGTCAATTTTGTTGAAAGAACTCCCACGTCCTTCTATGTTTCTAAAGCCATCGCCAACATTAAAAACTTGACCTAACAACTGTTTAAGGATATTTTGTCCATTCCTTCATTAGTAATACTTTTTTTGTCTAAGTTTAAATTATCCATTTTGATTTATGAGATTTGACTAAATTTATTTTTAATACAATTTATATGAAAATTAGGATGAAATTTATGTACAACTAAGATAGGTTCCTTTGATACTCATATTGAGTGCACTAGCTCCAATGGATGATTTCCACCCCCGAGTAGACCCCTCACCCGAATCCACTCCCTAACCCCTTCAATTTCATCCCCAAAATATTATTGACTTTGAAGTAGATTTGATCACAAGTCCATGTACCTGGCCCACTCGCAAAATAATAGGCTCGAGCTTTATAAACGGTGGCCCTTATACTTTAGGGCCGGGCTCGGGTTTTATGCTCAAGCCCACGTGTCGGCCTGGTCTAAATAAATAATACTCCGTAATATTTACTATTACTATAAATAAAATAAAATAATAATAATAACTTTAATATAAACAATATTAAAAATAACAATACTATTTTAAATTATTATAAACACATGATGTACTTTTACGGAGAAAAAGAGAGAATTATAAATATCTTTAATAAAATAAATACACTATAAAAAAGAATACATCTTTAGTACTTTGTTTTATTTACTTTGTATCACACATTGATAATGATATTGAAATAAAGAATAGTAACATTATCAAACAAAACACAATTTATGATAGAATTTAGGAAGGGGTAAGAGTCACAGGGTAGGGCAATAAGACACTTGGGCTGAACCACATTAAAAGATTGAATTTAATCGATTACTTAGTTCAACTTAATAGCTTATATACCGATTTAATTTCTCTACAAGTTTCGATGTGGGACACTCTATAACACTCCCCTCAAGTGAACGACCGAGCCATTTTGAATATATCCAATTGACCACTTGCAAATGGATTCATATTCCCTTGATTTTTTTAGCGCCAACACCTAAAGGACCACGAGCCACTGGGTATGGACTTGCAGACAAGCAATCGGGTTAAACAGGACACATGCTGTTTGATATACATTCCACACGTTAGACCTGATCATGGGCTCGGGTATCCGACCCGGCTTGATAGGCCCGCCCAAAAACATGCGGGCTTGGGCTTGAGTTTTAGCATTTGGCTTGGTCCGCGGACGTATGGGCTGTGTTGTTAAAGCCCACGGACGGCCCGGCCCGATCCCTATAAATAATTAATATGAAAGTATATGAATAATATGAAGTTGTATACCCTTTTATACGAAATATGATACTTAAAAAATATACAAAATATTATTCATTAGTCACTTTTTACTAATGTGTTTACTAAAATTTTAGTGCAAAGTATGTACTCTTGTTTGAACTCCATGATATATATACACCGTACCATTTTTTTGTTTGCTAAAATTTACACACCGAATATATTAATGTTTAAAATTTTAGTTTTTTTGAAATAGTGTTAAAAAAGTTTTTTTTTATATCTTCATAATTTATTATTAATGCGGGCCGGGCCGGGCCGAAACCCGTGCATATTCACATCGGCCGAGCTCAGGTTTTATTTTTTGGCCCGAGATGCAGGCCGGGCTGGGCTCGAGCCTTAAAAACTCTTATTGTAACACCCTAATCCATCCAGGTCTGCAGCCCCATTCGGACTAAGTATTTAACTTGGTAATCGTAAAAATTTAAAACTTTTCAAACACTTTTATTTATCATAATAATATTTTTCATAACACATACAGTACGGAGTATTCAACAATATTGCGGAAGCGAATTTAATTTTGACATATCATAAATCATTTCAAACTTGTCACATCCATCCCGACAATCTCGCCCCATCTGCCGCCAGGATCACATTAATCTTTCTATTTACCTGCGTGTAGCAAANAGACATTCACAGTTTTGATATTATTCAGTTCATATCAACACATTTTATTCAATTCAGATACTATTTCAATAGTGCTCTTAAATTATTCTTAATCTAAGGCCAGATCATAACAACGCTCTTAGCTATTCTTAGTCTAAGGCCAGATCATAATAATGCTCTTAACTATTCTTAGTCTAAGGCCAAATCATAATAATGCTCTTAGCTATTCTTAGTCTAAGGCCAAATCATAACTTCCATAACCAGATTCTTTTAAGGTAATTATTGATCAGACACTTAAACTATCATAAGTTTAAGGCAATTGATTTCGGACACTTAACTGTAGTCAGTTAAGGCAATCAGACACTTAAACTATTACTAGTTTAAGGCAAACAATTCGGACACTTAACCGTAGTCGGTTAAGACAACAACAATATAGCGATTTATCAACATTGGATCGAACATTCCCAAACGAGTAATCCTCTAATTTGGTCTACGAATCCCGTTTATACATTTTTATCTAATTCATCAAATATTCATGGTTTCATAAGTCTATTCTAATACAAGATCTATTCTAGAGGTCTTCTAGATAGCCTTAATACCAATTAACTAATGGGTGCATCTTAGAGTTCTTCTAGATACTGTTAACAATACAAATAGTTTAATAATTATCAATATATTCATTTTACTCCTGGTTCAATCATAAATAATAATTTTAATCAGTAAGTTCATCATTCATAATCATCCGTAATAATCATTCATCATAATCATCAATCAACATATCAATTGATAACAAATAGCGGTCTAGTTTCGAGTGTTAACACCCGAACTTACCGTCATGCAACACATAACATTTTTAGTTGTTAAAAACATCATTTTTATTATGGTAAATCATTTTTATAATGGTCATAATCCATTGGTATCAAAAATAGAATTTTAGAGCTCAAAAATAGCAATTTCGGACAAATTTTCGGATCAGAACTTCGGAGGATCGATCCAGCCCTCTGGATCGATCCATATGTAGAGAAAATAGTTCCAGAGGATCGATCAAGGCCATTGGATCGATCCAGACAGTCTGGTTTTGGTTACTGTTCATCTTCTTCTTCGTTCGGGTCTAATTTCGAAAATACCGTTTTTAGTTACCGAACTTCAACGAAACTATATAGAGATGTTCTCCAAGGTT